ATGCCATGAGACTGCGAACCTGAGGCCACGATGATGCCACAAAATAAGCGAGGCGAGCACAGCTTCAATTTTCAATGACGCGAAGCTGATGCCACAATGATGCGATGCTGGGGCGACAATGAAGCCATGCGTAGGCGACAATGATGCCACAAAGGCCAAAGCTTTCGCGAGAACTGTACTGTATGCTGGTTTACTAAACTCTTGCGTATGGAAAATGGTTAACAATCTTGTCTGCTAGCAATCTCCTGCTTTATGGTCCCCGTTGGTGGCGCCATTTCGGCAACACTCGTAATGCCGAAAAAACTCGAAGGTGACGGGAGAGGGGGGCGTGGCCCGGTTTTGGAATATCATTGACTGTTTACCCAATTTATATACCATTTTCACTTGATTTTTTTTCATAATGTTGTTTATAAATATTTTTTGCACACAAAAAAGTCAATTGGCCCAATTCAGTTACACTTTAAAACAAAAACACAACTTATGACTTGTTTGTTCTTTAGCGCCCTCTTCCGACCCCGATCGATTCATGATATCTGCATAAACTGCACAGTGATGGATAGAGGGCGAACATCACGAAAACCTCCAACCAGTCCCGTAAACTAATCAAAGATGATGAAATGCACAGGTTATATTTATATACTACTGTCACAGCTACGTCATAGGACGTTCTACGCGCGAGCAGCGCTGTACCATACATTTCAATGGGGTCCGATCTGTGCGAGCTTGCTACTATGAAACGCCGGTCGCTGCCCGTGAAAACAGCACAAATTCAACTTGTAGTGAGACAATGCTGAACAATCAAAGTAATCAAGTTTTTGATGCTAAAAAATTTCGTTGCAAAACAGGCAGTGCATCCCATTTATAGGCTAGACGTATTGCCAGGTTACTAGTAGGTGTCACGAAGAGAAGAACCACCTTGTATTTTATGAATAAAATAATATTTCACTTTCGTGAAAACGTCTATGAGAAAACGTAAATCAACAATGATTTGATAAAACTCACGACACGATCACCACATTTGAATATTACATAACTAAACAAAATCCAAGCTGTTGGATTGAGAACATCACCGTTTCCATCGAACATTAAATGGATGATTAAAAAGCAAAACTTCGTCATAAACACTCTGTCCACGAGCCGTGAGATACGCTGATTAACGTTATTATTATTATCAGTTGTTCGCATTCGTGATCGAACAAAATACCGATCTCATTCGAGATTGGAAAACATCCACTAAAAGATGAGTAATTAAAACAAAAGACCCACGGCACAGATCGTATAAATCTGCATATCCATGGTCGTGTTTTATTCACCGGAATCACCAACAGTCTTACTGTATGTAGGGCAACAGAGTGGAAATATAAAGTCGAATAAACCAGTCTTCAGCACAAAATGAAAATAACGGCCAACATAGAAATCACCGTGTGGACAGACGTAGCATACATGGGTCGACTGCCCCCAACTGCGTTGATGAAATTAATAGACTGGACGGTGAATTTAATTTCTGATCGTGGCGGCGACTTTAATGTATGTGCCTGGATAACACCTCCTGCAATAATAGAGAGAGTAGTAATCTGATTAGATTTACAAGTTAGTGGAACACCCCGTTGATTTTTATATACGTTCCCAAAGTACATTGCCATCTAACGGCATATAAACAAATTACCTATTCAACTCACGTTTACGACAGTAATCAGCAACAAATCACATACAGTGTTTACACGATGCGATCTAATAACGCGCACTCTAATTGGATAACAAATCCCGTCAAGAGAGCTGCCCAAACGCGACTTGGTAAGGTGATATTCAGGTTATTCAATCCAAATGCAAGACACGTTCGCCTGACGGAGCTTTTGTTTATTCAATGAGTGGGCCAACACGTGCTTTACATGTGACATCGACAGCACTTCATATAAAATTCATGAAAATAGTAATTCGTTAAGTATTTTCGCCACCCACCTGAAATTACTGGCCCCCATGCATGTAAGAAAAACCACCTGTTGTCCAGATCGACAATACTGTCATCGGACAATACGCGTTTTGGGCGTGAAAACCTGCATGACAATCGTCCATCCATCACAGTGCCCTCCGTATTGTTTACGGGATTGACGCCCTGCTCTTTCGGCCAGTTTTGAATATTTACGTAGCGCTTCACAACAATCTTCCATTCTGGCGTGTTTAACACGACGCATGCGTAGACATCATCTCCTCCCTGCAACGGTAATGTTGATATAATGAGTGGAGAATGCCACCATATGTAGCAAAGAGTTGTCAGCGACTGGTCGATATTCTAGTCAGAAAATGAAGTGCGCATGTCTGAAAAGAATATTGAAATGAATTGAAATATGCGTTCCGCTATGATGCAACTTGTGAAAATGTATCACTTTGCCCGCCCACTCTTCATTTTTGACAATTGTAGAAAGTAGCGCTTATTAAAATATGCATTGGCAACATGATTACTGATTTAAGAAAGAGTCAATTAATTCAATCCACGGCTTTTACACAATTCGTGAGAAATGGACAATACTCGTTGTTGTATTACCATAATGATATCGCGTAAGCACATTTGGTTCACACGACGTTGCAGTATTATTTAAGAACAACAACTTGCATGTTTAAAGTATACATTATAAACATATATTACAGGAATTTTATAAATACTAGTACATTGTTTACTAATTGTATTCAGCAGAGACAATTTGGCAATGCTTTAACCTTGAGACACATCCCTGGTAATCACGTGATCATGCCAACGGCTGCAGCGATGGCTGATCGCATGTTTACTCTTCCGTGCCTTAGAGTTTTATTTGTAAGATTTGTAAAGAGTAGATGACAGCAAGGTGTTACCTTAGCTGACCGTTTGGACAAATAAAGCTGGAGTATATGTAATGAACATAATGTGTATTTCTTTGGATCGAAACTGGTATCTCTAAAGTGTTAGCGTCACCAGCTAACGTTCCCTACACGGTGTATCGTACGGTGCACGGACGTGCATGGGAATCCATGGGATATTCTCGTCAAATATTATTTGCAAAAAACACTAATGTATACCGTCCCTGACATGGTACACTATTTGCATAATTGAAATACAATTATTAATTATTGTTTATTCCTAAACCATAGAAGATCCCCTACCTCCCATGCACAGACTCACCATGTATTCATCGGAGCTGAATCCGATCGCAGCCCATCCTTCTGTCTTAGCACTAATCTCAAAGAGCACGTTTTCACCACTGGCTCTAAATGTCAGCAGATAATCACACGTATATGCAGTACAACGGGGGTCTGGATAGCGATAACAGTTCTTATTAATGCCACACGTGTCCACGTTTATTGGACGGAAATTATCATGAGCGGCCTGTCTCGTTGCTAGGATACAAAACATAGATGAGTATCATTCAGGTGTAACGACTAATGCATTATACTCTATCGACATATTAGATATATATGTTGAAACATACACAGTTCAAATAGCATGCAAAGTTTACGTTTACAACGAGTCATCACCCGCGCATGCGTCATATGGCCATAGCGTGTCACTGCTTGCTTACAAACAAACGTCTACCCATGAGCCTTTGCGTTTTAGCGTGTATTGTCATCGTCGCTTGGGACTCAATTCCCGCGCGTGCGCAGGTGACGACCCTCCCGCTTTAAGCTAACTTGGGGTCTATTTTCGAAGATGTGGCCTAAAACGTTGTATGATTTACGCTGACTTACCCCTGTATGAAGAATAAAACCCCGTCAGTGCTTTAGACAACACCATTCTATGATTAAGTTTGTTATCATAAACAATTACCCTAGTAAATAAAACACAAACATTCGGTATAGCCATAATACAGTAATAATGACATCCAAATGTTATCTCGTAATATAGATGAAACAAACAGTCTAACAGTCTGTTGTGTTGGTATAGCTACTTCATACGTACCTTAGTGTAACATGTTGACTACTAATTTTAGAGGTATAATTCGATGACATGGGCGAATACCATACCATACGGAGGCTATCATCGCTGATAACCCGCCCAATATACCAGTTATCGCACGCGAGTAACCTTCGTCCCCCCTGTGTCGAGTTGATGTAGCCCAACGATGTGCCGTTAGTATTGAGGACTGCCTGTATACCAATGAACTGAGCACTCCTGGGGAGACTTGCGTTCAAGTGTTTGCATGTTACATTTACTGTAAAAGATAAATATAAAAACATATTATGCATTTAGATTTTTTGCTAAATAAATGAGTTCACTGTAAAATAATATAGTCTTACAAGCAAAAGTGTGTAAAAGGTACGTGAGAAAGAGTATTTTTGTAAGTATTCGAAACTACATATGAAATCGGATTAGCAACATGAATGATAGAGCGCCTAAATACACAGCGGAGTTATCGTCTGCTGATTAGAAACATAGATACGACTGAAACATGGCTTGTTGTTTGGCCAATCATAGACCCGAACAGTAACTTTGTCTGCTTTTTATCACCAATTAGATTATTACTCTACATGGTATTTTTTTAGTAGAAATAGTCCCCAGGGGAAGGTTTGCCGTCTCAAAGACATAATCACCAAGATATGGCCATTCATGCCAGACAATATGACGCTAATGGTTTAGATAGAATGTAGTATTCTATCTAAAATAACATTTTTTTACAAAATAAAAATTAGATAACGTGTGACGGACATTAGATAACGTGTTTAATTCTAAAAGTTACAGGGTGCCATAATTATGCGGTATTTTACAGGGTATTTTCATCCTACCATATTAGGAAATGCGAATTCCAAATATGGAATTATTAAGCGCGTAAGCGTTCTCTAATAATAAAAACAAACATGGCTGCCACTTAACTACAGGATTTGACCGGACTCCACACAAAGAAGTTCGCTGATTCTGTTCTAAACATTTTGGATTTTGGCATTTCCATTGGCATTGGAAGGAAAAGGTGTATAATAATAAGGTTATTACGAGGATACCTCAAAGTATGCACTCAGACAGTACGCCGCACACCGACCTTCGCTGCGCGTAGGTCAATACTCCAGCTGTACTGTCTTCGTGGCATACTTTGAGGTATCCTTATAATAACCTCATATTATTGATATATTGGCCTCAAAAACGCTTTTGAGAGTGTGTGGAAAGTTGGTCGTTATTTTAAATTTCTGAAGAATTAAAGTTATTAATAATGCATAAAATTATTAAAAAGTATGAATCAAAAGTAAAAAATGCACAGTGCTAATTGTGTTGTTTATCACTGTCAGCATTCTTTATTCGATGTTCAAACCCTACAAATAGAAGTGTGCATGGAATCATGGGAAGAAATGGTGTGCATATGTGTGATAACTGCCATGAATGTGATTGATAGATCATACTTGTTTACAAAGGATGTTTACAACTCTGAAAGGACAATTGGAATCTACCAGATGGGCTTGAGATATTTAAATAACAAAGGATGTTTACGATCTACTGACTTGCCCACGTGAGACGGCTGCTAGCAAGACCACTTTCTGATTGGCTCATGTGGAAACCCAGGTGGTGTACTTGAATCTGGGCCATTTATGCCTATAAATCACTACCCACTGACAGTTTTGTGGTTTACTGTATTATCTGCTTCAGATGCCATACACTTTAAATAGACATATAGACACAGCATTAAAAATTGAAATCGATAATCTGTTTATTCGAGTGAACGTACCTGTCAGTTTAGATCTATCATTTAAGTGTATGAATAAATAAACCCACGAAGAGTTCAACTGGATAGATAACATCAAGAACTCTGGATAAGCAAAATGTCAGAGTGCGACTGCGTGGTTGCAATAGAAAACGTAAAACGACAACGCTTTTCTACTTTTCCTGACTCCGTTGTAATTTGTTGCTGAACGCTACAGGATCATTTATTGTCACGCATCGATCATCAAAATTCTTATTGTAGTATTACCTAAGTAACACAATAATCAGAAGCCATGTTTGTCATTTGGCGATATTCCTGTAACATGGTGTTTTTAATATTCAGATCACGTTATGTATTCCTGTATGTTTAAAAAAAAATCTCCCTCGATGTCTTCGTGGAAGCAAATCGATTATACCTTATGTGTTACAAATGACGCATTAGTATAGCGACTGGATTGTTTTTTTTAAGAAATCTACCTGGTTTTTCTCGAACAATATACACTAAATTCCCTGTTTCCGAATCTCATTTGTGTCCCTATGCCAATGCCAACCAACTTCCCATGGGCCTTTGCGTTTTACGCAATGGTATCTTTGCCACAAGCAGCCTACGATTTCGTGTTCATTCGCCACATTATTTATGATCATTTTTCCACAGTAATTTTGCGTTAAAACGTACTACAACAAACAAATAATAATATTTGTGACAACCAAACAATTTATGAATGGCTGACATTTGTAGGAACGTAAATACAAACAACTTTATCATGAACTTTATTGTTGAGGTAATTTTACTGGATTGAAATAAGGCATGCGATACACTAAAACTGCAGGACAACGTTGTATAAAAGAGATATGAAATACTGATTTCACTTTTAGGAATTTTCCAATACTATTTATGACTTGACCCACAGTCCCTCAAACTGGTTATAGTAACCGAATAACTTGGACATAACTGTGTTAACCCGACAGGGACTTGAAGTTCGAACATATTCGAATATTCAATTTAGCGCGTGTTGATCTACATGCATAGTTAAGAATTATATTTTCAATATTATAGTTTCAACTCAAATTATGAAAAATAGGTTTATCACACTAATTTACACATAAAATAACGGGGGTACAAATGAAATGTTATCTTTCTTTACGTTGTATAGCTCCCGGTCACTGACATCAGATGCTCCATCTAATTTGTTTTATTTTCTATATTTGAGCTTTGTATTTTTTTTCTTTAAAACATGATATTTCATTTTGTGTCATTGTATAGTAAATTTGAATAAATTGTCATAAGGTATCACTTGTGCCTGACATTACTACTTCTTATCCATATATGTTTTTATAATAATATGTGTTTAGGCAGAGAAAACTCTTATTTTATTCAGATATATACATAATGTCGTTATGGTAACAAGAATTGATAAAATAGAGTGCAGACGTCCATTTTGTTAACAAGGCATAACTTTGGGTATTTGTTCATACGTTAGATGATGATGATTAGTGTAGGCATACATTAGAAGATGGTTCGTCATTTGCTTGTTAAAATAAAATACACATATATGTAAGCCCATATGCATATCGAATATTTAACAGAATGCTACACTGAGTGCTGCCAAAGTAAAGTTAAGTTGAGCATATACATATACACAGTGTACTGAGCAAGAACAGTCACTCATTGAACAGTCATTGAACGTTTCTTACAGAAAGAAGACATGATAACAATCAGATTTTCTTACTCAAGCTTGGATGTGATTAATGATCCTGTAAACGAGAGATTCATTCTGACCATGTGTTTGATGGCGGGTGATTTATTTTCTGTTATTACGTGTTTTGCATACCGAACACTGACGATGATGCGAGCATTTCTTTTTCTGCATCGAACGCATTGACACATAATGCATGATGGATTATAACGTGTCACCTATTTTTGAACCAGAATTGATTGATTGATAAACGCGCATTCACCGAACCTCTTGGTTGAGATAACGTACGTCAAATAGAACATAGCCTAACCACTGGAGAAAATATATTACGATACGAAAAGAAATAGGAATGTATGCAATACTAGTAGTATGATTATCTCGTAAATTTTTTGAAACGTCTAGAAATATAATTTGCATGCGTCTTAAAATATAAAGCAATATTAAAGGGCGGTGGTATCGCGCGGCATCGTGTTCGATAAGGGAACCATTGCGACGTGTATAACGCGCGTAAAATTCATTGTTTACACGAATACGAACTCGCTCTGCGCGATGACCACAATCCTTTAACATCCAGGTAAATTTGACTCGTTGTAACTTGTGTATAAA